TGCTGTGGTTGTCCCACCTGATGATGGACGCTTGTATTGCGCCCGAAACGTCGCGATTTAATTTATTTTATACTTACGTGACTTTACCGAAAGAACCAACTATCGATGATATTTTAACGTTTTAGGAAGGGGTACTTATGTGTGTTACTGTTATGATTGTTATTCAAAATGGGAATTTTTTTTGCACAGTTTAGTACGCAGCATAAACAAATGGTGTTTTTTTCTGGAAGATTTTATTGTTTTTGTAGGGGATGTCTCAATTTGCGTACAGTAAATTTTAAATGTATCTTGTAATTTTATTGTTTGTTGCGGTTGCACCCGAATCAAGAGCCGAATGGCTCACAGGGTTATTCCAAATAAATGAAACAAACACGAAAAAAGAGAAATGGACACTAAATAACTTGGAAATAAGTTGATGGCATTAGGGCACTGGTGTCCGAAATGGAAGCAAGGAATTTATTGGCAACACTGGATAAGCAATGCACAAGTCCGGAAGCAAACATGGTAGCTAAGTGTTGTAGATATGATTAGGAAAACATGGCTGTGCTGGGTGGGCCATGTGTGAAAGACGATGGACAGCCAGTTATCAAGACACACACTGGAATGGTCGCCACGAGTCGAGCGACCAAGACAAAAACTTAAAACCAGATGGTGGTCCTGGATTGTGGCTGGTGGTCGCATATTTACTGTGCAGGAGCTGTGGAGTCTGTCGGAGGCTAAGTGATGAATGTTGGTGCCATAAACGGCGTTGGCTATGATGACATCTTGATCTACAGACTGGGCAAATTTACCAAAGGGTTTGCCATGAAATAATTAATGAACTCACTCATCGTTAATGACATGGTCCTCTTAAACAATGCTAAAGTAACACACCAAAGCTGATGTCATATGTCACTAGACCTCAACTGCTTTGATGCTTAAATTTATATATTCTTTATAAACAAGTTGATGTTATCACGTGTAATATAATCTTGGTTTATAATAAATACATTCATTTTATAATAAAGTTGAGGTCTCATGCCACCAGGACCAGGCTCAGTTTCCCTGCCTTGGTCCTCGCACCTCCCCAGGGAAGAGATCTTAAAGGAGACTGGGACAGGCAAAATGCGCAGATTATTACGAGCTATGATCTATCCACTGCTGAATGAACACCAATATGTTTCGGATTTAAGTTGAGCCCAATAGATGTGTTCCTCTTTCTGCCTCTCAGTGTCATTCCAAGCATGCATCTCTCTGCTTTTAACATCATACTCTAGGCATTGTTAAAAAGATCAAAATTATCTCTTAACTTTCGTACATTCTGATTCACTTGTTACTTATTATGTCTGTCAGTGTAATTCCAAGTGAACACCTTTCTCTACGCTTCTTTAAATATGAACCATTCTTGCACACTTTATTTTATGAATGCTTATTTGTTTCTGATCCGTACCAATTAGCACGGTTGGCTACATACGGTGCGAAAAAAGTTCAACATACATACAATAGATAATATGCATGTTTTAAAAAGCCTTGTATTTAAGGCATTAAATGGGTTTGCATCACCATAAACCCAGGCTCTGGAATTCCCTGCCCATGGAGGTTAGGAACTCATTGGCGATGGAGACGTTTAAGTCCCGGCTGAAGACCCCACTACATATATAAAAAGGCCTCTCTCTCCAATTCTCTATATCTGTAGTCTTTCTGTCAGGGCGCCTTGTAGATCTAAATTATTACTGATACTTGCAAACACAACGGCATGTTGAAAAGGTTACAGAATTCATGCATATGAATTATTTTCTTCCTTGTTTATTTAAAAATGTAAGTAGTGGGGGACGGGAGAGATTAACATACAATCGGACCAATCATCGAGCCCACCAAAAGACGTAACTATAGTACATTGAAACACACAATAACAGTATTTTTAGTGTTTAGGTCTGAACAGTAAAATGCATATATGCTACATGTCGATGTTTTCTTTTATCACATATAGACATTTACGTATGATGTTATTGTTTTTGTTACATATCTTTCAATATGCATTCGCTGCTCGCCAGACGTTTCAGCTATCCAGACCAGGGCTCTCGCCATCGATTACTCTGGCAAGCCACGCTTGTTTTACTCTGTATGTTTCAGATGCGGCGAACTGGTGCGGTTTTAGTTCATGTATTGCAATGTGATCCACAAGTGACCCTGGTTGGATTCCTGAGCGTCACTGTCGGTAGCAATTGTTATGCATACGTGGCCCAAGTCTGATGTAAAATTAGTAATTGGTACAATGTGGGCAGTGTCAGTGTCAACCGAGAGGCAGGTCATTTGCGACTTGTTCGGGGCGCACGTAGCTAAACAAAAAGGACAACCTACCATATTTCGCTGCACAATTGTTGAATGTCAACAGTATTCAACATGCCTAGGCTTGTTTCACTGATGAGCTCTAATGATTGAGGACCCATATGACACTATAGGCTCTACTTGTCAGACTCCAATTGAGCTCAGCTCCCTAATTAGCCTCAGATATATACGTGCGATAACATTGTATTCGTGTATTCAAATTCTGTTAGTTGTGTTGTATATAGCTACATTTATAAATATAGACACGTCATTGCACGATACTGTGCAATATTCAACACTGCTCCAGTTGTCTCGAAGTATACTCGACTGTACATACATGTAATCTTTTACAGGCCTATGTTAATCCACTGCTGGATGAATGCCGTGTCGGTAACGGCCAGTTTGTATTGTCATACTTCACCACCATGGTAAGTGTAGGCTGATGGGGGTGAAGTACAGATATCACTTGCCACTGATGTCAGACATGGCAAGGACTCACTTCAGGTAATCGGATTTAATGCAGCGCGCTAACCATTGCGCCATCGCTCAACCCCACAGCATTGTTATACTTGTATAACACATATATTACACTGGGATACATATTGTTATAATGTGTATCTATATTCTTAGACTGTTTTATGTGCCATTACATAACAGAGCATACAGTACTTACACAATAATCTGTGTGAGTACAATAAAGGATGTTTGCGGCACTACCCTCTGCTGCCCCATAATACATGCCCACAGCCTGTAACGCCGGTTATGCATGGTGGTCACCCCGCTAAGCACTATCGGCACAATCTTCGGAGTTTGCTTCGGAGTTATGACGAGATCCGGGTCACTTGGTCACTGACACGCGCTACACCTCCGGTAGTGTGTCCAAAATCGGGACGGAGGGCAGAATCTGAATATTTACTTAGACTGGAGGAATCGGATGAGCTATAAAACTATATTTTTTCACACATATCCAGTCGTGGCGGGTAATAACGTTACAACAATACAAAAAAACACGATAGGAGTGCAAAGTACAAGGTAAACAAATAACACAAAGCTCTCCGCTCTACAAAGGGTAAAACAACTATTCTTATTAATATATAAGAACCACTTTGTCCTGAGATAACAGTAGTTAAACCTGTCAGTCGAAATATCCTGTTTGTGCAATCGACGTTGACGAGCTTAAAAAGGTGTGGGCCTCATTAGCACATCACGCCGACACACAACGATCATGTCGTGCTACAACCACCTAATGTCATTTAATAGCATTGCAAATGTCCAATAGATAAACTCCCGCCCCCCCCCCACCAAAGGAATGTGGAGTGTCCATCACTGGCTCATGGCTTCTGGATGCAGGCGATAAACACTTCCGCCGAAGTCAGGAGTTGTGTAACACCGTGTACCGAGACACTGAGACATTGCCCACAGCCAAAGCCGCCTCTTAGTTCCCTTGAAACTAGTCTCAACAGCCCGTAAAACAACCACATTGATGTCACTGCCGCATTGTAACACAGTGTGGGTTCTTAATAAGTGGGTTGCTACCGCCGTACGAAATCGGTAGCGAAATGAACTTTTCAATTCACACGTCGCCAGTTTGATTCAAAACTCCGAGCGCGGAAATTGTCACAATTATATAAAAGTACTGTATATTTAATTATCGTTCACCCTGAGACCACGCATTTGTCAACCCGGCAACATAAATGGGAGCACCACCACCGTTCATCAGGTCGCTGTTACGGTGGGGTAAAGCGTGGGTATATACTCCCACCTTCTATCACGGCGTCTGGCCACCGTGGAAGAGTAGGCCATTGGTCACCACCGCTTGACATTCGTTCAACATTATCTCCGATTTGTGTTATCTCCCTGATCCACTTGAAAGGGACACTATTATCAACTGATTACTGTATTTAATTGTCGTATGTATGTTGAACTTCTTTCGCACTGTACGTAGCCAACCATGCTAATCGACGGTGCTATTAAAACACGCTTCATTCACAGTTACCCGAAATGTAGCAACGACATTCAACACAGCGGTAAAGGTGCGGCCGTGCAACGTCTTGCTCACGCCACTGTTGACGGAAGGGCATCCACTAAACAGCGCTCGAGAGATGAATTCTAGCGTGTATTTGGTCTACTCTTCCACGATGGCCAGACGTCATGGGAGAGGTGGGGATTACCCACACTTTACCCCCCACACACACACACGAACCGTGCCGATCGACTGTCGCGTACCTAATTGCAACTACCGGGTGGAGGGACACAGAGGACAGGCGGTAGCGGCGATTGGGGGCTAAGGAGCTTGGCCCCATTGTTTCCACTGCCGCGCCTGGAGATACAATCGCACTGACTACTGCCGTACTATTATTGGTTCTTTCGCTAAAGTCACGTAGAAGGGAAACAAACAATACAAATATAAAACAATAAAATTCTCACGACGTTTCGACCGCAACGCATAGCTGTACTGTTATCGTAAGTGATATGTGCGAAGGGGAAGGACCATTGCCCGAAACGTCAGTGCTACTGACGAACGTTGTTGGGAGTTGTGTTGTTCTTGTCGCGTCTCAGTCGCGATTTAAACCGGGACGCTTGCCAGGCCCGAGGCTCCGTGCAGGCGAGACGCCCTCCCGATGGCATAAACACAGCGCAGCTCGCTTGGCGCGTCGTGTCGTGTTCTGCGAGGCCTCGTATCTCAAACTCACCGAAACCGCACACCATCGCGACGGCGTCTCGATCGAAGGTTCGCGAGGAAACAAAAGCCGGGAGGCTTGAAACTCAACGACGGACGGATCCGTTTCGCGACGTCGTTCAAGATGCTACCCCCTCCCCGCCTCTCGTCCTGTCGATGACGTCACGCCGAGCGCGATGATGTCATCGCGCGATACGGCCCGGCCGGCGTGACGTCTTCGCGCACTCACGATCCTGAACCCACCGCCGCGGGCGTCATCGACCACGACAATCCTGACCCACCGCGTGCCATTAACGCGCGAAACGGCTAGACCGCCGTGACGTCATCGAGCACTCACGATCCTGACCCCACCCCCCGCGGACGTCATCGCTCACTACAATCCTGACCCACCCGCGTCCATTAACGCACGAAACGGCTACACCGCCGTGACGTCATCGAGCACTCACGATCCTGACCCCACCCCCCGCGGACGTCATCGCTCACTACAATCCTGACCCACCCGCGTGCCATTAACGCGCGACACGGCCGGGCCGGCGTGACGTCACCGCGCACTCACGATCCTGACCCCACCCCCCGCGGACGTCATCGCCCACTACAATCCTAACCCACCCGTGTGCCATTAACGCGCCGGGCCGGCGTGACGTCATCGCGCACTAACGACCGTGATCCCTGACTTAAATCTTTCGTGACTGCAGGAATTCATATTCTTTGGGTCTTTCGGTAAAGTCACGTAGAAAAAAATATAACTAAAAACTACGACGTTTCGATCGCAACACAAGCAATCGTTATCAGGAGGATTGCTTGTGTTGCGATCGAAATGTCGTAGTTTTTTTTTAAAAAATAAAAAAAATGTTCTACGTGATATTCTTGGTTCTTTCGGTAAAGTCACGTAGAAGGGAAACAATAAAATAATACAAATATAAAACAATAAAATTATCACGACGTTTCGACTGCAACACAAGCAATCATCATCAGGTGTGAAAACCACAGCAAAATCCCTGCAGTCACGAAAACTTTAAATCAAAATTCTAGATTTGAAGCTTTCGTGACTGCAATGATCCATACTCTTTGGTTCTATTCGGTAAAGTCACGTAGGTAAAAAATAAAACAACAAAAACTAAAACAACAAAAATCACGACGTTTCGGCCACAACACAAGTGGCCTTCATCAGGTGAAGGGACCAGACTGTCTAGAGGACAGCGCTGGAGTGAACACAGCCAAGCTCAGACCGCGACCTTTAAGCTGTGTGAGAGGAATTAAGGCGCCTTGACAAAGGAATTAGCATTAAAAAAATCGCATTTAATTGGCTGACTTAGCATGATGAACGGTGTAGAGGGGGTGAACATGTGCAGACCGGCGAGGGGGGGAGGGGGAGTTTACATATTGATGGTGTAAGAAGGGAATTTAAGCAGCTGCGAAAGTTTGGTATACCACTACTTGAAAAAATATACTGTACCATTGAAAATTAGTTTAATGTTTGGTTCGATTTAGAACATCTTTCCAATGGTTGCTTAATTTGAAACCATCTTCTCGATTCAAATTGTGTCTGTGTTTGTAGATCTGAATTGCCTCGTGAACAAATCTCTGATAAGAACCCGTGGGTTTGCAAAGAACCTTGGTATCGGAGAAAATTATACCGTGATCACCCACAGCGTTGTAACAGTGATCAGCTACGGCAGAAGAATTCGTTCTGCCGTGTTTCAAATGTTCTACGCGACTTTACCGAATGTTTTCATGGATAAATTTGAAACAGATGCCATCCTGACATGCACCCTACGTCCTTCCATGTGGAAGAGATACGTAGTTGACACTTTGTCATTTGGTAACATGGCCTGCCAGCACTGAACCAATTTCTCAACCACATCAATTCCATACACCCATCCATCAAATTCACCATGGAAGTGTAAAATGATGGCAAGCTACCCTTCCTGGATGTTGTGAAATCTCGCTGGTTCAGCAGTTCCACTGCTGGTTCATTTTTTTCCGCCTGAGGATGACCGCTTGTGTTGCGATCGAAACGTCGTTATATATTATTATTTTATTTTTCTACCTACGTGGCTTTACCGAAAAAAACTAAGAGTATGGATTCTGACCCCCACCTCCCCCCCGGGACGTCATCGCGCACTACGAAGTTGACCCGCATTACGTCACTCCGCTCGATGCTATCCGGCCGGCGTGACGTCATAGCGCGATACTCCCAATGACGTCGGAGTTTGCTTTGTCAACATTTTTATATTCGGAGACAGTCTGCTTATTTTTTTATTAGTTTCTACAACGACGCTCATTATTACGTTGTGTTGTGGATAAAATAGGGACAGATTTTCGTCGAACTAGGACCCAATATAATAAAGAGAGGGTCCGTGCCTATAACATCTGGCAGTTCAGGATCGGTTCATGCAAGCCTGACTGCTGATGAGACACTGAAAGTCGAAACCGGTTTTCAGAGTTTTGTTTGCGTTGAACCGGTGCTGTTGAAATTGTGCACTCCCAAAAGGTCGCGTGGCTGATGTGAAGTGTTGAAAAAAATGTCGGATTTTTTATGTGGAGGGGCAGATACGCTTTATGTGAATTTGGTGTATTGTCTGCTTATTTTGAATCGTGAAATTCTATGCACGAGTCGATTAATTTACAATTGTGGCTTCATATACTTTTCCCTGCCGTTAACCACTTTAACTGTACTCTCCCTCACTTTGCATTGAAGTGATGCCATCCAATTAATCACTTTGCTCCTCTATATCCATGAGACAATACCAGATATTTCATTTATCGGTCACCACCTGACATTTCTGGTTCCAATTTCGTTAAGTGGCCAACAATAGTGAGCTATGTGATATCCATTTAAAATTAATGGGCTTATCAAATAAATCACTCTTATTCCCTGTATTAAGAAACTGGTACAATTTAGATTTGTTCTACTGTAGGTGGTGCCGAATTCTGCTATGGCCCATGGACTATCTAGATATTTCAAAATGTTGCTTAGATTTCGTTCAATATCAGCTGCCTCATGACCCACATTGTTTGTGTTACCTATCTTGCTTGTATTCCCACTGTAATTAGCTTTACCCTCGATATGCCTCTGTTAAAGTGCAACTTGCATCGCACCAGTTTGCATAGAATTCGTTGAAGGCTACATATCCGACAATCTGCAGTTTTCCAAAAATTAGATTGAAGAAAGGCGAACGCAGACGTGAAGAAAATAGTAACCATCTCAAAGTTGCTGATGATGTTAACAACCAATGGAAATTAATTGCAGGAAATGATTGAAGAGATAAAAAAGAGGGGTGCAAAGTTGGGTTTTAAGATAAACACAGGAAAAACAAAAGTAATGCACAAGTTTGGTGAAATTAAGATAAAGTGTTGAAGGCCACAACTAGAAGGCACATTTGAGTACAGTATGTGTGCCTCGGACAGTTATTGAAGGCAAACCAGGATCACAATTGTGAACTAAAGAAGCGACAGCAGGATGGAGAACTCTTGCAAAACTGAATGTGATCATGATAAGTAACACACCGTGTTTGGTAGTGGGGGCACAAGCACAATAAACAATTAAAAAAACCGCAAAACATCCTTCAACAACACCGTGTGTCATACAATAATAGCATTGCCTTATATATTTCTGCTTTTAAGTCAATGTTTTTGACGAATGTGCTACGTTTGTTTTTTTCCATTTAAACGTAGATCAGAAATATTGGTACAGTGAACAAGAATAAACTGAAAAGCCAAAGAAGCATGATTTCTTCCTTTAAAATATGCACACAGAGAAATGGAAAGAGAAACGCATAGATCAGGGAATAAACACATTGATAATTGTTTTTTTACCCTTTTATCTGGCAACAAAACTGACACCTTTTTTTTTTACAAGGAGTCATGTTTACATTGACCACAATACCTGCGGTCGGAACGCAAACAAAAAACAACTCTGATAATGTATGCACTGTCCTTGAAATTCATTGGTGTGGATTGATTGGTGTGGACCAATCAATTTCAAGGACAGTGCCACATACATTATCAGAGTTGTTGTTTTTTGTTTGCGTTCCAACCGCAGGTATTGTGGTCAATGTAAACATGACTCCTTGTAAAAACAAGGTGTCAGTTTTGTTGCCAGATAAAAGGGTAAAAAACCAATTATCATATTTTGTTACTGGCAAATGAGGTTTCCAATGGAAAAAAACACATTCTCAATGTGAAGGAATATGTGTGGACCCGGACAGGATGGATGAGTGGTGATGTAAAGGAGGGGGCATGCCCAACAGGATAACACCACAAAAATGTTGTGATGAGATTGTCTCGTTGCGAAATTGATTGTGTGACATTGCGGGATTGTGTGCGAGAACGACGACGTGGGGAGTCCATCCAGCAGTAGACAGAACACGGCCGAGGAAGATCATGACTAATCTTGAGTCGAAATAAAATTGGAAAAAGAACGGCGCATGGCCTTACATTGAAACTGCGTTCTATTCAGCCAACAAATCTCATCATCCTCACAAAACACTACTGCATAGGTTTAGACAACCCCGATGTTAATTGTGTGTACGTACCTAACTTTAAAACACGTGTGCAGAGCAGAGTTTTCATTCTCTCGTGGAACATTTAACGGTAAATGCTAGGCTAAGTCAAAATGAAGCTAACATTTTTTTTGCTACAATTTTGTTTTACCCTTAGCTCTTTTGAAAATGTCCTAAACTGGTAAAAAAATGGCTTTTTCTTTTTGCAAAGCCACGATGCCGTGGAGTGGCTGTGACCTCACCATGGAATCATCTCAGAGTCGTCATCACGGTGGGTTTTGCCAACTTTTCCCCCATGAACCCCTTCTATAAACGCGATGGATTTCATTTTGAACTACAGCTGGGACATCCGATCGTTTAAGACTTTAAGTAATCGAGTACTCAAATGTGTCAGTCAATCAGTACCTTCGTTTCACCGTAATCGGCAGAGTAATAGATTACTTAATCGGATATCCCAGCTCTGTGGTAAATAAGGGACATCAATCACTAGATACAACGAATATCAGTGGCACGGGTTTTATAGAAGTATGCCAATTACAAGAAATAATGAATCTCAATAGGACATCACATGGTTAAATATATGGGGCAAATCACGACAGACGACTTCAATGGGTTCTCCCATGGGTTAAATATTGAACTTCAATCACAAGAGACAATCTCAAAGGGTCCCCAGATGGTGACTTAGTCACCAGACAAACTATAAGTTGGTTAAATATACAGCTTTAATCTCATAAGACAATCTCAATGTGCTTTCACACATGGTTGTATTAAGGAGGTCAATCAAATTATTCTCGACGAATCTGTTGTACGCAGAACAACCGCTGCTCGTGAGAAACGTATAATTACCGTCAAATCGTAAAATTACGCCACTCGTTTCAATAATAGCACCAAAACGTCTCTATGCGCATAGCAATACAAATAAAACGGTTACAACAAGGGGCTATAATAAAAAAAACAATGCACGCAACAAACACTGCAAACAAATACGGTAAATCGCATTGCCCATTCACCCACCAGGGCCGCGAAAGTGCAGAGCGCGAACGTCGTCACTGCTCCCCCATGGTGCGTCCGCCTTGTGGCGGCGGGCGGTTGCGTCCCGTGGTAGCGGCGGCGGCGGCGGCGAGAGCCTTGGGAGTCTTCCCTCGCATCCAGTCAGCGGCAGCCAGCGGCGGACGCTCGCGCAGCGACGAGCGAGAGAGGCACACAAACGGCGACTCGCTTGCGCGGCCGGAGGGGACCATGGGCGGGTCGCGGACGTGAGGAGTCGGGCCTAGGCGACCGGCAGGCCCCGTTGGCAAGGGGGGGTGAGGTAGGCCGTCGCGGTTGGATTCCGCAGCGCGGATACGCGTGGCGAGCTGATTGCATTTGCCAGCGCGGATGAGCAACTTGCCATTCGGCTTCGCAAAACTGTAATGAGCGGGCAAGTACGCCTCGTTCGCACGTGTGTCCACGTAGAAAATACAAAAGTATTTACACGCCCCCTTCTGTGAGTGCATACATTCAGCCGCCATTAGTTCAACACACACCTGATGATGATTGCTTGTGTTGCAGTCGAAACGTCGTGAGAATTTTATTGTTTTATATTTGTATTATTTTATTGTTTCCCTTCTACGTGGTGACTTTACCGAAAGAACCAAGAATATAACTGTAAAGGAGTTTTACCATTCCAGTGTCTCATCAGCAGTGAGGCTTGAACTGACAGATTATTTGAAGTTTGACTTAAAAATGGATAATACATAATAATGAACGTCATTGTGGGGGATATACGTAACGAACTAAATGAGCATAAACTTGCCTCCATTATAAGAAGTTATTTAACAATATTTAAATGCAAAAGTTGGAGGTGCGTCTTGCATTCGGGTATTTGACCTGGAACCTAGCTCTGCAAGTTACATATCCGCTCAGCGGTCAATCTATTTGTTACTCAGCATGTGTTCCACTCAGTCTATATGTCACTAGTCTAAGAGCCAGAGCCAGTTCATCTACGTGCCACTCGCTCTGACACCCATTTTAATGTAGGTAATGTTTTAATGTAAGCTTCGCGTGACTTTCATTTTTGTAATTTGTGCTTTCGTTTCTAAATGTGTGTTTAGCTCTTTGTGATAGCTTGAATGATATCCAGAGTCTATAAAAGGCTCGAAAAATACTGTACTCTTATTAATATGTACGAATGAGGAAATACTTTTTTTTCCTGGAAGGAGGTACATTTTAAATTCAGTAACTCCAACCTTGTGGCCAGGAGGAGGCGATGGACTCGCACAACTTGGCCAAGCGCAAGGAGGTGCGCAAAAGTCTTCGTGTCAAGGTCATCAGCATGGGTAACCCGGAGGTCGGCAAGGTGAGCAAAATATTTCATCACCACTGGAATCTAATTGGGAATGTCTCATTGAGACCACTGGAATTACCAGAGCATCTCGTTCCTAGAGTTTCATCACGAGGGTATCGGTCCCAATGTCATCGTGTTACCAAGGTATTATCACAGATGTGTCAGTCTCATCATTAAGGCCAATAACTATCGTTAATTAACTTTTGTTCAGCATGATTGATAATTGCATGGAAATATTAAAACAGATTGGTTGCTGCAAGTCTTGAAATGTCTAACAGTACAAATAAAAGTCCTGCCCTGTGCGTGCGTCTTTGTGTGAACGTGCCACACTGACTAATGAGACCTGCTACTGGTGTCTTACAATGGCTCTGGTTGAAAAATTTTCTGATTATATTCACGATTTCATCAGGTTTGGAATCGATAATAGAATCTGAAAATGAGTATTGATAATTTATGAATGGCTTTATTGATAGGCATGGAAACACCACCAGAGTCTCGCTTCATTATGATCATTTACACCGTGCATCCCATGCAGTATGAGGTGTTTTGCTGCAAGGGACCCCCAGTGGCAGCTGTCCCTGTGAGGCACAAGGGGAAAACGGCACCAGCCAGAAAGTGGGCATTAGTCTGCCAATAGGGGGAGATACTGCTATGTGGCTTCCCAATTCAGTATTTTGTGAGTACGGTAATTTATCAGATTTGGTAAATCTGTACCATGATGCCGGCACACGGCCTACTCATGTTCACGCGATCTTTAACGTCCACTGTGAAACAGGCGGCGCATATTTATTATTAGCACGGTTGGCTACATACAGTGCGAAAGAAGTTCAACATAAATACATAATACGTAAATTACACTCCGTAGTATCAATCAGGGCGGTGCCTGGCTTGAACTGTGAACCTCTGCAACAAGAGGAAAACGTGCTCGCGGCCATGTCACCGTCCCGAGCTCTTGCCTCGTCTGCCAACCCCCGTCTCTGCCTTTGTTCCTCGTCCCTTGTGCGTGTTTTTCTGTGCAGAGCTGCCTGATCAAGAGATACTGTGAAAAGCGCTTTGTGCACAAGTACATGGCCACCATCGGCATCGACTACGGAGTCACGAAGTGAGAGCCACCCCCACAGTATACAGGAGTAGATAGGACACTATGTAACTTTGACGTGTAATATTACACACCATTTTGCTTGGGGAGAGATATAATAAAGTTTAGCACCATTGATCTCCATTGTATTGTAGATAAGCTACTATTACAATTGAACAGTTACTGGCATTAGAATATTTACATGATTAATAAGCTTGATTTTATATTGAAATATATGTTGTAATAATGTAACTGTGTATACTCATAACATTCATATTGTATCCCTTCTAACTTAAATTATGAATAGAAACCTTTTCATGTTACAAGCAGCATGGAAACACGCTCGCGCTCGGCAATGTCACTGATTCCGGGAGGGCTGAGTGGTGTAGTGGTTAGCGCGCTGGTCTATGAACCCAGCTACCAGAGTTCGATTCCCAGCCATGGCTGATATGAGTACTGAGTGATACCTGAACTGGTCCTGAGCCCACCACTTCACCAACCTGCTCTTACCAGCATGCTAAAGCAACCCCCAGTCAACGGACTGGTGAACCGGTCCCTGATTGTGTCACTCGACAATAGACTGACAGACCATTCCCTTTATGTCATCCAGGGTCCACGTTCGAGACCGTGAAGTGAAGGTGAACATCTTCGACATGGCTGGACACCCATTTTTCTACGAAGTGAGTCCAATCAAGTGCTGCATCCTCGAGTTGGATTGCTGACAATGGTACCACAACAACACCAGTATAAAATTTTTATTTAAAGCTTTCGTGACTGCAGTAATTCATATTCTTAGCTCTTTCGGTAAAGTCACGTTGAAGGGAAACAATAAAAGAATAAAATATATATAAAACAATAAAAATTCTCACGACGTTTCGACCATAACACAAACGGTCATCAGGTGTGTCGGTTTGCATAAATAAATAAATTTTGTGTTATGGTCGAAACGTCGTGAGAATTTTTATTGTTTTATATATATTATTATTTTATTGTTTCCCTTCAACGTGACTTTACCGAAAGAGCTAAGAATATGAAACACCAGTATCAGTTTGTTTCTGCTGCTAGCCTGAAACCTACCTAGGTTAAATTGCCCCCAAATGAGAAACTGGTGCTGTGTGGTGACCATCGGCAATCGGGAGATTAAGGAGGCCAGGCGTACGTGGTGCAGGCCACACCACCACCTCTTTCCGCACCTCCAATTAGCGTAGTTGGTTATGTACGGTGCGAAAGTTCAACATACATACATTCACACGAGTGCAGTTTCCAGCTTTAATAATAATAGTCCTGTATTTACACAGGAAAGCCTCACTGCACCTCAATGTTTCAAAAGGATTCTGCATTAGGATGTTAACATTCAGAAAAAAAGTTTCCTGTGCGTGCATCTACATGTCTGTTTTTGTGGGGAGCAGTAGCATAGTGGTTAGCGCAGTGTCAGATATCTGAACTAGTCAACAGCCTCCAAAAATTCCAATCGGTTTTAAATGAGTACCTAGTGCAGAGTGTGAACGTCAATACCACGGAGGCAAAAGCGGCCACACCACCCCCTCGTGCTGTGTCAGCCTTAATCGACTCTCGCCAACAGAATTTGTTCCAATGGTCTATGACTTGCTGAGGACTGAGATATAGGCGGATATGTGCAAAGGTCAGATGTGTGAACGTCTAAAGAAAATTACAATTAGACCATGCACAAACTGGGCAGCAGTAAAGCACAAACCGTTTAAGCAAGGGAATTTTTTTTTATCGCACTTTAAAGGTAAGCAAATGTACATGAGATTAAGATTACATCACTGTTTTTGAAAAGGTCGGGTTTGTGAATATTGAAAATTAGTTACAACGTGCACAAGTCATGCGCTGGGCCTGCGCGGTTTGTTGGTCAGAAAAATGTCCAATGTTAGGATACGCAACATTATAACGTATATATGTATGTGCCTGCACGCGTGTCCGTGTGTTTACACTTGTGTGTGTTAGGTGCGTAATGAGTTCTACAAGGACACGCAAGGTGCACTGCTGGTATTTGACGTGGGCTCGCGCGACAGCTTTGACGCACTGGACGGGTGGCTCGCCGAGATGCGGCACGAGATGGGGCCGCATGGCTCGCCCGACGACGTGCTGGTGGTGGTGTGTGCCAACAAGGTGCGCCCGTACACTCGCTGGCACTCGTACTCCTGTACATACCGACACACGTACACGCACTGATCCTCAGGGTGGAGGCTGAGAGTAAGGCCTTTGCTTTTTAGTGGCAAGCTGCAGATTCGGAAGCAGTTTCCCAACTTCTCAGAGTGAGCAGCGATTTACAAGTCATCAACATGTATAAGGTGGTTGATGAGTAGCGAGCCAAATCTTAACGACACAGGCATCAATCAGACTCCTCCTGTATCTACCAGATGGAAATGGTTTGTTGTGCAGTCACGGATAGAAGTTGTCAAATAATGTTGGGTGCCAGAGGACATCCATGTCGCACTCTAAGATGAATAGGGGATGGCTCTTGACTCCTGGTCACATGACTTAACATTCAGGGCCTTGGCAATCATTAAGGTCCTGAATTATTGTGATCCCAAAAGCTTGAAGAACAACTAAAAGCCCTGGTCTCTTGCCTCACATGTACACACATACTCATATCCACACATGCACACATATCAACAGTGCACGATTCTCATATTTCCCTATACCTATGGTCAATGGATATCGTCTAGGTTAAATCAAGGTTCATGTGTTTATTGTTTTTTTCCATGCAGGTGGAGACAGGGCGGAGGAGGGTGGTGGATGACAGTGAGGGGAGGCTCTGGGCGGAAAGCCGTGGGTTCCTCTACTTTGAAACGTCGGCGCAGACTGGAGAAGGCGTCGGAGAAATGTTTCAGGTGCCTGTGCCAGTCTAGGTACACATTGATGCTACAAGAAGTGTCCCCATGCTCGCCGGTATTAGGTCACAGTACCATCTCAGGTGTTGTGGGTTAATGAGCACTGGACATGGTGTGCAATTAATCAGCATTTACTTACATACTAATAACTAAATGAAAATGTAAGACTTGACCAAAATCTCACCGGTTTGTCGTCAACTACACCAAGACTAAAGTAGAAACGCTGACCTAAGGTAACGCTGCCGCAGACGCTGTTTGCGGCGATCGTGGAGCTGTGCGACAACGGCGGGCGGCGGCCGACCCCAGCGGTCACCGTGGGCTTCACCAAGGAGCAGGCTGACGCCATCCGCAGGATCCGCAACAGCCGCGATTGCTGGGAGATGCTGGGGCTGAAACCCGGGGCAAACAGGTGCAGGTCACGTGCTCGCCACGCCCTCGGCACGCACAGCCGCTGCTGCTGCTGCTGTGGCTTAAAGGAAGACGCAACCCGAAATTCGTCGTGTCTCGTCGTACTGTAGATACGATACGGTACCATGTAGCATCTAAATGCAACCACATCTCGGGTCGCGCAGTCGGTCATTGGTTAGAGAAGATGGATGGATGGATGGGGAAAGGGAGTTTCTTGAATTTGGGGGCAGCAGGACAGATTGAGCGACTGCCCATTGCGGGAAGGTTGACCGGGGGTTTCGGGTGTGTAGAGGGGATGAGAGAGGAGAGGAAGGAGAGTGTGTGGAGGGGAGTGGGTCGACGTAAGAAAGGAAAGGCAGGGGAGTAGAGTGAAATGAAAGAGCAGAGTTAGGTAGGGGTGATTTTATGGTTAATTTGAAGACACTGAGTACGATATCAAAATTGACCCAGGATTGGATTGAGAGCCAGTTGAGGGTTAGACTTTAGCCATGCAATGATTGCTTAAGCCTTCATGTACTTCAACGAATTGTCGTAATTCAACATCTTGATTCGTTTCAAGAATAATTGTTTTTTATATGCTTTTCAACTAATATTGAAAGCGTTAATGCATTAGCTCATTCTGTCTGTAGTGCAGAGTAACAATGGTTTGTATATATTATCCAATATGAGAATATTTGTATTTTGAAGTAATGTAGACCTCGAAAATGTATCCGTGGATTAGCTAACCCATGGGAAAAAAAAAACTCTAAATCATGAATAATATTGCATATTGACCTATTGCAATAATGTCACATACGATGGCCAAAAATGAATGACTTGGACTTACCACGGTCTTGCTTAGTTTCCTTACTCGGGGAGGTGCAGGGCCTTGGACAGTGCAACCATGCAAGGCAGATGTAGACCAAGGGACACTGGGTCTTATAACTGCATACATGTAGAAAAAACTCAACGAGATGACATCGTCACATGATATCACACAACGTGTGTTTCTCCTGCTTGATGCCATTAACTATGATGCCTTCATTATTAATGAGTATTTAATGGAAATGCGCTTGCAGCCTGATGGCCTCGGGACCAGGCCGGCCTCGCCTGGTTTATCTACTTAGATCCCCGTGCCTTCCCGGGAATCTAGGCGAGACCAGGCTAGGTCTAAGTCACTCACCATTATCAGCAGCCACGAGATAACCACTGCCACATGAAAATGAATATTACGTAGTATACTATTTTTTAAAATATATCTTTCGTGGTTACGCATTTATTTGTGCATGTGTCTGTATGCTCAGTGTTGGGGAGCAGCGGAGTAGTGGTTAGCACACTTAACTACAAACCCGGTGATCCGAATGTAATTTCAACTCCCAGCCAACATCGGTGACGTATATCTGAACCGGTCCTGGGCCTCTCTGAACTCTGCCTTAAATGAGTACCCGGTGCGGTGTGTGTCAACATCAGCACTGAATATGTATGTGCGTGTGTGCGCGCATAGGGATGAGATTAACAAGGCATACCGCAAGCTCGCCGTGTTGCTGCACCCGGACAAGAGCGTGGCGCCCGGCTCGGAGGACGCGTTCAAGGCCATCGTGAACGCACGCACCGTGCTGCTCCGCAGCTCCGACTGACACCGCCACCGCTGCGGCACCCGCCGTCTCAACGGCGCCAGCAGTGACAGCACCAGAAGTGATACAGATGTGACGAGACAGGGTGCTAGCGGATGAAGCGGGGTACCTGGCACTGAGGTGTGCGGCAAGCCGGCGCAAGCGATATCTGGAGAAGGGAGATGGTTGTTGGCGATCGGTTGCTTTGGTTGCACCAAGAAGTTTCACTGCTGTACGAGTGGATGTGAGTGCATGTGAGTACCTGTATGTTAGTACTTGTTTAAGAAATGCGAGTACCTTTGTGTGAGCGTGCATGTGTGAATGAGTGCTTTATGAACGCATGCGAGTACGTGTGCGAGTATGTATTTTGAACTTCTTTCGCACCGTAAATAGCCGACCATGCTAATAAGAGGTGCGGTGTTGTTAATGTGCTGAGTGGTTGTTAATGTGCTGAGTGGATGTTAGTACGTGTGATAATGCGTGGATGTTAGTGTGTGTGTGGGAGAGCTTATGAGTGGATGCAAGCAACTGTTCGTCCATGTGGACACGCACGTGGTAGAGAATGATTTTGGTTGTGCCTGATTTGTGAGCGTGTTTGCATGCGATCACTTGCAATCATAAGCGATACCACTTGGGGACAGTGGGGAGCTATCGTTCGTCCTTAGAAAAGCAATAAGAGTTGGACAGGGGAGTGAACCAAATAACCGTTTAACGGTAAAGTTTCAATATAACTATGACGACGTATTTTTACTGTTAAAATAAACCTGTTAGTACATTTAACAATGAATGTACACAATCATGTTTAAGTAAAAAAGTGTAGGTGAATAGGCACTGTAGCTGAGGGGAAGGGACATTATGGGTCAGTAAGTGGTTAGGGTTGTGATTTATGTTTATTTTCAGTTAAACATAAAAAATGTATACTTAACAATGAGTATTACAAATTAAAAGTAGCTTTAACTGTTAAAATAAATCACACTGTATCCTTAATCTGGTAATCGTAACCCATGACCTTGACGTGTCAAGCAAGGCCACCTTTGGGGGAGGGTGGTGGAGGCTGCGGTGTCTTGATGTTACTGAGATATGCATGACATCACTTTGTTACCACAAGGTACCATGTGATCCCATTATATCACCTGACAGTGAATGCATGTTGACGTGATTGCACGTGATCTCATAGCACTCGGTTCCTCCTCTAGCTCTTCCACGGAGTTAAAAACAACAACAAAACCCTGTTCACTGAACACAGTCCGAGGCCAAATTCCTACTGCTCAAGGCCTGTAAGGGATCATGGAATTCCAAAGCCAATCGTATAGACTTGTTTGAGGGTTATTATTTAATGTTTATAGCTCCAGAGGTTTAGTTTTTTAACTTGTAATCACTTTTTTTTTAATCACTGGAAATGCACGCCTTGCTAATCTGATTTTAAATGTGTGCCTTACACATGCATGCACAGACATACTGTACAAATGTATAACGTATGTATGTGCATATTTGTCTTTGTGCATGTTTGTGCGTGTACCTGCATGTGTACGTATCAATAGCTATTTGTGCGCACACATACATTGCATGTAATTGTGTGCAAACCTTCTACTTGCTTGCAAGTGCACATACACATTTGCGTGTGTACGTATTTGTGTGTATGTGCGTACATGTGCAACGTGCACCAAAAACATTCACAACTCCGGTATTCGAGTGTAAAGCAAATGTGTGGGCTGGCCATCTTGTTAGGATTTGTGTAATCATAACGGTGCTATATTTGTAGACAAAACAAAAAGTCGAACAGGCATTAATCAGTTATGAAGAAAAAAACAACTGTTAATATTAATAGAACATTTAGAATTTGGCGTGTTATATACTTATGTACTTGTTAATGAATATAGCTTATTTGATCACGTTTTATGAAGGAAGCCTATGCACAGCGGGTGATAGAGGCACTGGCGATCCTGCATTGAGTAGCAGTGTGTGAATAAGGGACTGGGATTTTTCTGACGAAAATGTAAAACTCTGTCATCACTAGAAACATCTCAACACACAGGCTTGAGTGTGTTTGAGGCGGTAGCCGGGAAGGAAATTATGGATACAGGGACTTTGTACGGTGGAGTGGATGGGGTGTGTGCATCTCGGTTAATAATCCCCTTCCATCGGCAGTGCCTCACTCCGTGGCTTTAAAGTCGATGAAGTAGAAATCAATTTTTAAGAAGGGAAGGAATTGGTATCACATTTACTGTTGAGGTGTTACTGTGGTTTTATTGAACCGGCCTTGAAATCAATGTTGACTTCAGTTAATCATCAATCGTTACCCGGTTGTGCAGATAGGAGTTCAGTAGCATGGCAACAGCATCCAAAATATTACCTTTATTAAGGAAAGCTTTATCAGGAAGTTGGGATGTGTCTCCAATTCTAGATATAACACTAACATTCAACAGACTAAATAAACCATTGAGAAACATCTTTACCAGGAAGGAGTAATGAAAAACGTGACTCAACAGACAAGGGTCTGTGTTTCAGCACACTAACATATGATTCAGGTTCCTCAGCCTCCGTGTTTCTTAACATGTTTTTCAGCAGCATTTAAATAGGCGAACTATGGACTATTTTTTTACTTCTCGTTTAATTTTTCCGAGTCTCATTAGCAAGACATGGTTTGTTTAATGCTGCTGAGTTGCCTAATGTTAAACGCAAGAACTCTTCCCAAACACTATGGCCGTAGAGAATATGTAGTTCTTCAGGAAATGGTCTGCCAGGGACGAAGATGGTGGTAATGCCAGAGGATGGCGTGTGATGTCTCCAAAAAGGCCGTGATACACTTGAGAAGCTTAGGGCAATCGTCAACAGAAACAAATTCACTCTAAGAAACCGTGGCAACTTGGTACCACAAAGACAATGTGACAAGTCATGACTGACCAATGAACACGGTTACCAAGTATCCTTGATGGTTTACAGATTATGCCACCTTGGTGAGTTTTTTGACATGTGCTCTGATGGGAAGTTGCAATGCCAATTGCTCACTCGACGAGCAGTGATCACAATTGCCCAGATCTGGTAAAATATTGCGATCGATGATACAGCAACCTTTGCCAGTGATGCCAGCAACGATTGCCCTGAAATTGCCCAGGTTGTCATTGCTTTAACAGATCTCTCATGCATATGCCAGGCAGCGTTCCATCTTGTGCTGCTTTCAAATGACGTTTTACTACGTGACCGCTATCGGAGCAAGACAGCCCACACTCGCAGTGGGGGCATGAAATCTGGTCTCAAGACTGGCTGGTAGAGCGGAAGCACAGCAGAACTAGAAGGTTTGATGGCGGTTGGTTGTATGGGCAACACGGGGGCCAGCAGTGCGCTTATTGTACTTGGAAGGTAACATATTTCGTGTTATTTAATAACAATACTCAATAGAAAGTGTGTGTGAGAGAATGTATTTTATTTTTATCGAAAGCATTGTTCCATTAGCTCTTAAAATTGTGTGCCACAAAGCTGTATTGTACATGCAATATTAAAGAGTGAAGTATTTGGCCCTGTAATGGCCAGCAAATTGTGTTTTGTATAAATTCTCACTTAAAAATTCTCGTCTGACCTCGTTATATTCTACAAAATTAAGTCTGGTTTTGAGCTTAAAATGTCATGTTCAGGAAGAAAATTGTTTTTTATTGCAATCTGACAATGTGATTAATTACCTTCATATAATAATTCATAGAAATTAAATAAAAAGTGGGATTATAAATTCCTGCCAATGTTGCTGCACGTCGCAGCAAGGTGCACGCTCAGTCATGACTTAATCCATTAAGCTATTAACGATGCATTAATTCAATGATTAAGATACATTTTTAGGCTCCCGAGCTATCCAGTCGTGTGAGCACTGAACATTATTTACGCATACTAAAGGAAAACGATATGCTAGTGTTATTAAGGTTAACGGACCAAACAATATTGTACAAAAGTTATGGCAAAAAATGTACCTTGTGCTGGAAAGGTCAAACATTACAGCCCTAATATCCAAAATCCTGGCAACACTCATCTCTCATTGCTCACCAATCATCAGTAAAGTAGAAGACATGGTAACGACCGCATAAAAAAACTACGCATCATTATACGTTTCATGCACTGCCCTTGGCTCCGTCCAGCGAGAATGTCTGTAACGCTACATCCTGCGTCACCGCTACCCCCAGGCTCTCCTCCAGTGTTGCTCGGTCTCCCTCCACTTCCCTTGGCCCCACCTCGGGGCCCGGAACCAGGCTGCCCCTCTCGAGCCCCCACCTAACGCCCATGCTGCCGCCCGGCGCGGCGGAGGGTGGACGTCGAGCTGGGGCAGGGCGGACGCCGGCGTTGTGTTGTGCATCCAAGAGTGGCGGAGGGGTCTCGCCACGGGTCCCGGCCCACGCGGGCCTCTGTCTGCCGCTGGTCGCGACAGCCTTGTCCAGGGAAAGCAGCGCTACCTAAGATTTGGGGGGGGAGGGAGGGGGGGGCGGGCGGTTCAAGTTCCAGTTAAGTGATTGGGTTAATATTAGAAAGTGTTGATAGAATGGAAGAAAGCGTCTCGTCTGGGTTTCAGATTAGGGTTATGGTCTCGTGTGGGATTATAGTTTGGGCCAATATTAGTGTTTTAAGTAGCATTCATGTTGAAGCTCGGGCTTAATGTTATGGCCAGGATTCAGAATTACGTCGGTTTGGATTCTGATTAGGGCTACATGTTAAGGTTACAATGTTTACAACTGCATGTTCAGGTGAGGTTTAGGATATGGGTTGGGTTTTTGGGTAAATATTAGGATCAGATTTAGTAAGGTCATGGTTCAGATGAGGCGTCGAGCTACATGATAAGATCAGTGTCAGGATGTGGTTAAAACTATGGTTGAAGTATTATTTGGGTCGTTTGGTAAAGTGACGTAGATAGGTTCAAAGAAAATTTAAAAAACTACGACGTTTCGATCGCAACACAAGTGGTCGCACTCCCCCCCCCCCCCCCCCTTTTCCTGATGACGGCCGCTTGTGTTGCGATCGAAACGTCGTAGTTTTTTGTTATTTTCTTTGAACCTATCGACGTCACTTTACCAAAAGACCCAAAGAATATGAATTCCTATCGTTGAAGGTTAGGGTGAGGCTTGGGCAAGATTGGGGTCAGGATATGGGTTTGGGCTGCACGTGTAGGGTTGGCTTACTGGTGGCATGTGGCTAGTACCGGGTTGACGTGTCCCCTCACCAGTGACTGGGCTTTCCGTAACTTTCCGGATGTCGAGCGAGGCTGTGAGTCGGGGCCCAGGGAGGTTCTACCCATGTCAGGAGCAGGGCCCCCTCTTCTCCACCGCCTGAGATGTTCAGACACAAAAACAAAGATCTCTTGTGTAGCTTACATGGACTTTTGGGGCAAGTGCTGATGGCAAGCACCTTTTGAGGCCAGAATGGTGCCAGAATTATCACGTAAACGGCACTGCACCTGGCCACCTTTGTCTCCCCGGTGCTACTATTTACACATCAGGGGTGGCCAACCTGTAACAGACCAAGAGACAAAAATTACCCTGACTTCTGCAAAGAGCCAAGTGAATATATATTCGTATATATATTGACGGCTTTTGGTACAACACGGGAGACTTTGCCATTGTGATAGTAGTTCTACGTTATGTCCCTTCGATAGAGCCGCATGTGGTGGATTAAAGAGCCGCATGCGGCTCGGGAGACGCCGGTTGACCACGACTACACTATATGTATACACACAAACACAGATATATGATGTTGGGCCATTTGTAAAAGGACGTTTATTCGAAGTCTTGCCAGTGCCAGCACCATGCTGATCAGTGTGGGTTGAAGGCAAGGGGCACCAACAATTTGCATATAATTTGGTACATCTTGTTAGCCGTGTCTGGGAATTGAACTCGGGTCGCTTACCACTGCACCACACCACCCTGCGTTGATGGTAGATGTTCACTGAATAGCACGTTTTACTGTTCGACCAAATATTCAATACCCAGTCTTCAAACCCAGTTGGTATTCGGCTGAATTCCAATTTGAGGCTGAATTCCAATTTGAAGCCAAATTGTCATCCATGGTAAGGTATTAATTCCCTCAAGTCTTTCACTGCATGTACCGTCAGTGGGCACCTGCTAAAGTCCATACTGCACATGTGCAAGGGGATGGTGGCATTGGCACCATTTGTTCTCAATCAACTTTGTCTCTCCTGATCTACGGGAAGCCCAGGGCAGGTTGAGATATCAATTGCCTGCATCTGAAGGTGTTGCATGTAATGCCAAGGGAATCAAATTACTGTCTATTAAAATCCTTAAAATAGATGATTAGAACTGTTCACCTAAAAGTGCTATATATACAATAAATCATATGTTTACCAACGTTGGGGCGATCCCTACAATACCAACAGGGTATTGCAATGATCCAGGAATTGGATCGTCTGTATGGATCATTGACATGACTTCCTCTAAACACGATTTAAGATGAAGCCCATAAATAAAACGGCTTTTGTAGACGCGTACCAAGGCTGGGTCACAGATTTCCCAACGTGGTTCATCATAGATTTTTGGGCTATGATACGCCATAATATGAACGATGAAAACGTACGTGTCATGAGTTTGACACTTTGTTCAATGGAAGAAAAAACTTTTGTTCTGGTGAATTGAGTGCTCCTGGAAGGTGTTTACGACAGGAGGACCACGAGGCCGATAGCCTGGGTACGTATTTACAAGATAAGGGCTTCATATTCTTGGTTCTTTCGGTAAAGTCACGTAGAAGGGAAACAATAAAATAATAAAAATATATTGTTTCCCTTCTACGTGACTTTACCGAAAGAACCAAGAATATGAATCCCTGCAGTCACGAAAGCTTTAAATCAAAAGATAAGGGCTGTTTGTATTTTGGGTTACGTCTCCCTCCGAGTACATGACAGCGAAGTGGTGCCATGGTGAGAAGACGCACGCGAGCTTGGTGGCGTCGACGGGCTCGTCGTTGTCCAGATAGTTGTAGCGCAGGGTGTCCGCGGGCCGCGGGTTCGACGCGCGCCAGGGCGGCAGCTCCCTGCCGCTCCCCCGTGTGCCGCCACCCCTCGCGGACGTCAGCATCATCGATCTCGAGCCCGGCACGAGCCTCCCCTCGGCCTGGCTGTCCGGCCTCGCCAGCGGCTGCACGTCCGCCACAACCAGGGCATCCTCGGGAGGTGTCTGCATCATGTCATCATATCAATTTAACACTTTCCGATGACGTACGTGTACGTCATCAGTTTTTCTTCAGATTCCGTTCCAATGACAGAATCGAATCGATTCCGAGCGAAATCGGAGGTAAAAAGGCCGTACGGGAGGGCGTGCGGCACAGTTTGGCACCAACTATCACAGAGTGCGGTCGTGTCGCTACAGTTCTCCGCGGTGAGTACAATGCCTTTAAAAACAACGGCGCTATGCCTCTCTAAATAAAATTAACGCTATTCGCTTGCACGTTCCGGGATTCAGCGGTGAACGGGACCCAGCCTGCAGACGTCTCGGAATGGGAAGGGGTTAATGTTAATACCGCTATCCCCATGCTGTAGATCTCACGGAGGCGTATGGCAGGGGGGGACCCCAGAGGTAGCTGTCCCTATCAGGCACAAGGTAAATGCAGCACCAACCACTGAGTGGGCATTTTTCTGCTGGTAGGGGGCGATGTTGCAATGTGGCTTTAAAAATAAAGTTATTTTCAAGTGATTTATGCTATTTAGAAAAATTGCATCGTGACGCCGGCACGCATGGCCTACTCCTTTTCGATACATTTTAAAGGTGCTTTAACGTCCAATTTGAGGCAGACTGCATTTTTCTAGGTTAATACATTTACAGTATTAATCGGGTGGCCACGACCACTGCACACGACGCAATTGTGATTCATAATGGCACCTCGACTCAACATGTGATCCACCAACCCTGGACTCCACAGTGCGGAGTGACAGGCGTGCGCTGCACGACACTCATCAATGTAACCATTATCGTTTATATCATTATCGACATCAATAAGCATGATAGCAGCCGTCATCATCAGTGTCATCACCATCGGTATAATGACTGCAGAAGTAGTGTCCAGCCATTTTTTGCACGTGTTGTGACGAGTGCAGAGGAGAGAATTTTGAATGGACATTTCGTCATCGAAAAACAGAATTACTGATAACTCTGTTGGCAAATAATTGACACATTTTTATTCAACCTAAAAGAGCCGTCCATAAATGACGTCACGCGATTTTTGACGATTTTTGACCCCCCCCCCTCGTCACATGGCGTCACAAAAAGTCAGACCCTCCCTCAAATATGACGTCACAAAGCTCTGCCCCCCCCCCCCCAAAAAAAACATATTTCCATTTTGAAAATAAAACATGCTTCAAATCGCTTTAAATTATTGTCATTGTAGTGCGTATTTAATGTGGCGCTGCACTCTTGATGTCGTAGGAGTGTTGTTATAACAATTAGTGTTGTTATAACAATTCTATATTTATTTAAAGTTGCGCATTTGTATGTGACGTCACATTTCTCAAACACCCCCCTCCCCCCCCATCGTCATACATTTTCACAAATGTCTGACCCCCCCCCCCCCACTAGGTGCGTGACGTCATTTATGGACGGCCCCAAAGCACTCTGTGAATGTGCTCCCAGTGTGGCAGGGTATGGCGTGTGGCCACTGCTCTAAGGATGGCAGGCAACAAAATGTACGAGCCCAACCAACCCAGCATTGCGTTACCGCATTTCTGATCCATGACGCGTGCGCATGGTGACATTTTTCACTTGTTTATTTTTGTAAACACGATCACGACGCTTGGCCAACGGTTTGTTCCGACAAGGGCGGCCATTCATCGCGAGTCACTCGATATTTATGTTTTATTCATTACTCATGTGCACCGTGCTCCAGCCAACATGCAGGGAAAACTTTCAACAGTGGCATTGGCAGTGGAGCTCAGCGAATTAACCCTGGCTTAGACATTTAATTATGCATCGGGCTAATGGAAATGGCCCTTATGCAGACCAGAAAGAGGGAGGGCCATAGATTGATGACCTTTGTTTATGACCAGGGTGAGAATCCATTGAGATGAGGAGCTTATTTAGCAAGAGAGAAGTGACAACAATGTGTCCAATCCACTGCTGGATGAAATAGTCCAAAAGCCACGTTGGTTGGTGAGAGGGAGGCCCAGGACCAGTTCAGATATCATTCACCACTGATGATAGCCGTGGCTGGGAATAAAACTAAGGTTGCCAGGTTCACATCACATTGAGCAGTTTCAGTAAATGGAGACGGATTTTTTTTATTATCAATTATTAGCTTTAAAGAGGTTGATTTTTTGCTTAAGTCCATGTACAATATATACGAGATGTATTATGTGATGTATTGGTGCCAAAATAAATTATAATCAACACCAAACAATATGAAAAAAATATAGGAGCTTTTGTTTGACAGGCCTGACTTGATGAGACTCAGAATGTCCAAATTAGTGCAGAGTTTGCAAGCTTGAAAACAATTCTGCTGGAAAACATTGCTCCTGAAGGGGCATAGACGAAGTGTTGAAACAGCCCTTCATCTCTTTTGTTAAAGCATCATACGTATGTGTTTCTACGAGCAAATACTAGGTAACAAGTGATACAATTGAAAAAAGAAGCGTAAATGTAATATGTTTGAATTAAAATGATAAACCATTGGAACATCTCAAACATTCTAGTGTACAATACAATTTTGATTTTTAGAGCATTTAGATGTGCGCACATTTATTTTATAGAGAGAAAAGTAATTCGTAGGCAGAGGGAAAAAGTAAGGGCTTAGGCCTAGACTTGAACATGGACAGGGAGTGTAGTACGTTGTAGGAATAACATTAGTGACATCAGTGTGCAAACAGCTTGTGTTTGTGAATACAGGTGGCTCCAATTGCCTTGGTAAGCAGTCGGCATTGTAATGATTCACACGACTGAAGGTTTGAAGAATTGTTACGATTCGAGGTTAGAGTTCAATCAAGAACAGATTGTCTCGTTTGTACCATCTCCTTTGTACTGTCTGTCCTATTCGTCCAGTCCTGTTTGGACATCTGTGAAAAATAGCTTCATAGCTCATCGGATTCTTCCAGTCTAAATAAAGATTCTGAATCTGTTTGATCTGCTATTGTTCCATTACAGCAAGGTGTCTCACACTCCAATTCCCGTTGCGACCCACTACGGCATGCCTATTCGCCTAACCTATTTACCAAGCTTCGACATTTAAATACAAAGCAAATAATTACACGAAGTACACATCTGATGATTAGTGTTAGGGTTAACCATAACCCTATTGTAATTTGAATTAGTATTACTATAGTGTCAACCCCTTATCAGCGCCTACCTTATTACAGACTAATTCAGACCTTATTAGTCATCCTGAGCCTTTATAAACCTCAACATTCATCCTACAAAGTCCCATCACAAAGGAGACACACACAAAAATAGAAAACTTTTTTTTTACTCAATTTCATATACAATAATACGGGTAAACCGTATGGGTTGACAGGTATGCATTCTCTATGTCATGTGGGACAACAGCAACAATCGCCGTTTGCCACTAAATGGCGGTGACAACACTACGGCGCTTGTGCCAGGCTAGGTGCACTTTGAATCACCGTTATCTATGTGATGTGTTTACCAATCATCAGGCAAGTGCAGGGTATACTTTTCTGCAGGTATCACGAGTGTAATAATCTACTTTACTAGAGTCAAAAAGATCATTTTCCATTCACACCACTGATGCGCCATCCCAGTTGGTGTGAAATCAGAGAACAAACTCACCTTGGGCCTCAGGCAGTGCAGCTCATGCACTGCCTGGATGTAGTGGCGCTTCCAGAGGCCCTGCTCAAAGGGCGTTGGCGAGAAGCCCAGGCTCCAGCCGAAGCGCAAGCACTTGGGCATCCACAGGCAGTCGCTCTCTGAGAGGTGGCGCCAGTACCAGCAAACCTGGTCCATGCACACACAAAGAAAAATATCCCCCATAAAGCCTTTAACAGACTGTTGGGGCAAGTGCTGTTCATGAACACGAATGAAGGCCAGCACGGTGCATGAGGGGGTGGTGAGGGCAGCACCACGGCCGACCGTCTTTGTCTCCCCAGTGCTGATGTTTACATACTGCACCAGGTACTCAAATTGAGGCAGGGTCGATCTAGGAGAGGCCTACGACTTGTTCAGATATCTGCCACTGACATTAGCCATGATCTTGAACCGAATATATGTCACCAGCATTGGAAATGTAAAATATACATTTTTTACTATGTAAGGATTTGCAGTTGTGATGAATAGCTCTCTGATGTGTTTTGGAGTTGTCCTGTGTGTTGGTTGGCAGCATGTCCAATGTTTCACTCCATGTGCTGGGAGCTTCCTCAGTTCCTGAAGAAGTTCTTGAAGTTACTGAAGAAACTACCAGTACATGCAGCAAAAAATCAGACAGTTCCTGAAGAAATTTCCAACATGTTGGGAAAAAATCGTTGGATTTCATGCCGAACAGTACAACCAGAAAATAGATCAGGGAAAATGCATTATTATTATTAGAATCTGGCATGCAAATTGTACAGTTTGAGCAGATTAAAGTCGATGCTGGCCTGTGACATTTCACAAGTCCAGTTGTGGCGCAGAGAGAAGAGGCTTCGCTGTAGAGGAGGGGTAGAACTGTGAAATTCCACAGGCAGGGTCTAGGGTACGCTAACCTTTCAGACAACCCCATGCATGTAGAAAACATTTTATGTGCCTTCTCTATTTTTCTTTGCTGAAGCAGCCACAACCCCAAATGCATGGTTAAGTGGGCAAGTGATCCAGCGGGCAGATGAGCATTCGAACATTGAGGGAATATGTGAGTGAACAGGTTGGCGAGTGAATGAGCGAGAAAAATTAGCTTGGAGCTTTGAGTGTCACTCCTCCCCGGATGTGTGGGTAATTTCAGGGTACTTTGGTTTCCTCACAAATACTGATAAACATCTTTAATATGTCTATTGAGACTCAGATATGCTTTCCTAGACAAATAAAATGCTTGATTTTTTTAAGTTAACAGGACCTAATTTACGGCATTAAACTGTGGTATAGGACAGTTTCTGAACTTGTCATCATGACCCTCCAGGGACTGCGTTTTTATGAACACCAATATTTTTTACTTATATGCAAACAAAGTTAATGCATGTTGCATGCACCTGATGATTGATAACAACAAAAAGCTGGAGCGTGGTGTAGAGTACAGGTAAAATGCACTTACATTCACAATGACCACGCAATGGGAACCAGTGACTGAGCAGGTTAACCTACTGGTGGATCGGCAAAGCAGACATAACTCAAAAGCATACAACTCAAATAGAGTGGACAACAAAAAGGGAAAAAGACTCAAGCACATTTTGCCTTTACAGTTATTTCTCTGTCATTGTTGTATATCTTGTCTATATTGTACCTTGCAACCTCAACATTGTATTTGGTCTGCAGTTACTTCCTTCCTGAGTAATTATCTCAAATACTGCTTTGTTTTGGCACCTCCAGATGCACTGCATGGGAGGTGCAGTATCGATATTAATTTATGATGATGCGATGTGCAAGTGGGTGGGGGACTGAATGGACGAGCAAGCTGGTGCTGACCTGTGCGGCACGGCAGAGGCTGCGCGGGTCAAGGTGAGCGAAGATATAGAGGCAGAGCACGCGCGGGAGGGCACGTGCCGGGTCTAGTGCACGCTGAGGAAGCGCGGAGCTCAGCAGCGCCTCGCAGTGCCGGAGCTGGCGTTCGGAGCAGAAAGAAAGCACCTCCTCGAGAACGCGGCGCCGCTGGATATCCGTCCAGCGTTCAAACTTCTCTCGCGCCAGCCAGTAGGAAGGTGGGGGGAGAGGGAAAGGGGGGGGGGGGGCAAATGAGATGGACGAGGAGGATGGTGGAAAGTAGAAAGTGACACTAGAATAAATGGCATCTGAATTTTGTCTCATCTCATCAACTCCATCCCAGGTATCCTATGAGCTTGTCAGAGTGAATGTTAAATTATGAGCAAAGGACAGATTATTGAAATAGTAAACAAAACATTTAATTTGATGGAAACAAAAAAAATGAAGGGTCTGTATTGGAAGTTGAGTACAATCACAAATACAAACTTCATAACATTAATTATTCACGGTGCCTTCTAACAGAATAGTCAATGCCTCCTATTTTTTTTATTATCCAGGTTACTTAGGATTAGTGTAAACTGTAATTTCCATTCTATGAATGAGTCCATCTTCCTACCCCAACTCACTGAAGAAGGGCCATTGCCAAAAACGTTATCCCATAATATATGTGAATGTTAAATGCCAGTGTTAATCCTTATCATCATTCCTTCCCCCCTGTTCATATGAGCGGTTTATATTTCCACATTCCCGTGGGCACAATTCCCTTCCCATCCAAACCTAAGAGCTACTAAAATGAATCGGGTTTCTGTCCATTCCTATGTGTCATGTCTGTTCCCATCTCTTCCCCTAATATTTTAGCACTTATTCCCATTCCTGCAGAGCCAGTGGGAACCCATCAAAGTTCCACTTTCTAGGGAGAACGCTGGTGTCGTTTGGCATACACAGCTGCCATTGACGCTTTTGGCGATAATCTATGTTTTATGAGGTCCAATGCCATCACGAGGTTTTTCTTATGTTTTTGCCAAAACGTAAGCGTTTGATTGGGGGTTTATTTGCTATTCAAAATTCATTAATGTAGGGAATCCCAAACGCCAGACTTCGTGATTCACCACAGTATGCCTTTTTCACGTATATCTGGGTTTTCATTGCGAATACAAATTAAATGTTTACACGCCACTGCGCACACCTGATGATCGGTAAACATGTCCCACGAAACGAGAGCACTGATGTGTGGTTGAATAAAGCGTTTACTGATCTACGAAGCCCGTATTCATAGCGGCCAGGCTGACGAGCGGGACAAGGCAAGAGGCCAGGTAGGTCAAAATGTGTGTTGCCCTCTCCTCCAGTTGGGCAACAAGCTGACACTGCAGCGAGCGCCAGCCAGACAACGCTCCTATCTACCGTCCACTCAGGGTGCGGGGGGGGGGGGGGCACTGGAGACAGGAGGGGGAAGCTGGTAGATGACTTTGGGAGGCAGGTGCTGGCAAGGAACGATGAAGAGCCAACTCTCACCCATTTGGCAACCAGCTCCCGCCGCTCCTCAAACACCTGCCAGACGCGAACAAGCACACGCACAAACACAAACACAGCAATCGGTGGGAGGCATCAGCAGGATTTATTTATAACGGCGGCATGCTGACGTGGAGGCTTGTTGTGAGTCTGCATGGATCGCCATTGTGTAATGAGGGTGTGACATGCACATTTTACGCGTGTAGAGGGTTGGTTTTAGGTAGAAATTTTGTTCCCCAATTTTGGTAAATTTCTTGTTCAGGAGAAAATCTAATCAAGTAAAAATATATTTTTTACAGATTTTTTTTTAATGTCTAAAATTGGTTTAATGGATTTAATCTAATAAAGGGTGCTAGTAAACATATTTAAACATCATAACAATTGGGAACTGGTTGTAGAGGTGAACATTTGCGTAATCATAAACAATGTTTAATTAAATTGTTTTTAAAAATGTATTGTGGGAATTGTACAATATTACAGCCATGGTCATATTTTACAAAACCAATGCACTTTATTTATAGGAACCTGCGAACCCATTGAGCAAAATATCTGTAATGCAAGGGAGACGTAGGATGCACATATAATGCAACAGGAAATGTACATAACGCACAATGTCATTGCACATTTGTCAAGACACGTGACCGTGGGGTGACACGGGTGTGGGTGGCCCTAAACCAGGAGTGGAAATTCCACATTCCTGTCACAAGCTTATCCACTGCTCACTTGGTAATATTGACAATTATTCAATGACTGGCGAAGGTAATTTTTTTTGTTAAAAAACAATCTCATACTTATTGAATGCCACTCCAGAGACCCTGAGTTTGCTTCACTGAACTTGAAATGAGACCGAATCCTCCCCCTCTATTTCCCCCCTTCCTTCCACGAAGAAAAGAGATCTGACGCACGTACCACATAACGCTACAGTCCTACACGTCCACGTTGGTTGTCTGTCCGAGCCGCCTATCCCGCTATGCACCATTTATTTACCTGTCGCGGAAATTGTACACCATCCCCCCCCCACCCCCCCCCCCCGGTTGGATCAATAAAAGCAATAAAAAAAATAAAACCTCATACTTCTAATTGGATGCCCAGTGTGTGTTCATGAGCAGGACGATTAATGGCCGAAGTTACCTTGTCGTTACTCGGCACGTGGTTCAAGGGTGTCCAAGTGCTGAACTTGGTCTGCATCTTCGCCGCGCCGTTCACTTGCTTGGGAGCTGCAAACGCCATCGAATCTACGTCAGAGGAAACACAGTGACATGCAATTTGTAATATGCATAAAGCATTAAATACTAACGAAAACAATTCATAATTCTGTCCACCAGCCAATTGGCCTTCTGAATCAAGATTTTTTTGCAGCATTTATTGAAGCAGATAAACGCAAAGTGTGGTCCCTGGTCCAGAAGGCCCAGAGGCTGATGGACCACTGCATTTTCTCATGTGTAATCGTATTAACCGTAATATACCACAACACAATGCATTTATATACATTCAGGTTGGCCGTATGAGGTAGATTTGTGGAACTCCCAAATCCACTGCGCTGCGAGACAGATGACCAGGAGATAGCAGTACAGAAGACCTGTGAGCGTCAACCCCTCATATGCTTGGTGGGTTTGCTCTAGGTATTGTGTAAGCTTCCTACCACTCCTTTGAAATTAACCTGACCAAACATTCCAATGCAGTATCCTCCACGTAGGGAGTCTTGACATTTGACGAGGCTTTCCTCAATGAAGTTTATAATCCGAAATATTGGATCCGGCTGCACGGCACGGTGATTGGAGCGCGTGCCTTGCAACCATAAGGTTGCGAGTTCAAACACAGCCGGGGATTTACTCAGCCCATCACCTGTCAAACACCGACAAAATTAGTACCACATTGTGGGAAAACCACAGAGGCTGATTTGTGCAAATATCCACTTGTCATCGGAATGTGGAATTTCCACCATGGAATTATTATGGTTAAAAAGTAGACGATTGCCCCGCCACGCTCACTTGACCTGCAACCACTTTTATTAGAACATGATTAATATTCTAAATGCAGCAAATTAAAACCTGTGTGGACCCGACACTCATTCGGGCATGCTCGTATTCAAGTCAAAACAACTCTGCTGCTGCTGTTGCTGCTGCTCAAACGCGAAATGCGACGGCGCTCCATCTGCGTCGACCGCTCTAAACCAGCCGGTGGAAACTCGTCGTTCCCGTGGCGAGACAAAGTACATCCGCGGCACATTAATTATTTTAGAGACCCGTAAACCAGCGCGGCCGTGTTCCCTGCTTTCCCCCTTACCCGCGATTGCAACACTGCCGTGCCGCAATATTTTACCGTCAGCAATCCTCTGGCCGACGATGTTGATCGCTTAATGCTGTTTTTTGACAAAGGACGCTAAATCTATAAATGGTAAATCGTGAAAGCGACCACCACCACCATCACCGACAGCCACGCGTTTACCTGCGCGTCGCCACTCCAATACCGCGCCCCGTGATTGGTCGACAGCGAGAGCCCCCGTCGCCATGGGAACGCCAATGGAGGAGCGCGGGGAGACAGAGAGCGTGAGGGGAGGGGGGAGATTCGGGGCGTGGTTACGTCATTGTGTAAGACACGCCCCGCGTCTCGGTAGCCCCGCCCACCCACGCTGCAGGCACCGCCCCCACCCCCTGTTCACGCTTTCCAAGTACAGGGACTTCCCTACTTTCGAGAATTCGACTTACGAACTTTGCGATATACGAACAAACCAGGTCCGTACGTCCAGATGCCTGTTCGGACCGAGAGTCGTAAGTTCAAGCGCCGCGCAATAAATGGCGGTGGTGCCATCTACTGCAGAACATAAAGAACCAGTGGCATCTACATCTATATGAGATTATACAATTTTTTAAGCCATTCGCCGTGTTTAGTGTACATGCCGTACAACATATTTGGAATCACATACCTGTAATCCTCTTATTAGTACCTACCTTAGTACAGACCAATTCAGGCCTTATTAGTCACCCTTGTGCCCTTATAAACCTCAACGTTCATCCTACAAAGTCCCATCACAAGGGAGAAACACAGAAATATAAGCAACACATTTATTTTACTAAATTTCCCTATACAAGAATACGGGTAAACTGTACGGGTTGACAGGTATGCATTCCTTGCGTCACGTGGGACAACAACAATAACCGCCGTTTTGCCACTAGGTGGCGGTGAAAATAGCTTTATAGCTCATCGGATTTCTCTAGTATAAATAGTATTAAGATTTTGCGCCCGTAAGAGCAGTCCTTGAAGGATGCGTCGGCTTTGCTCCAATTACTAGATCTGGTAGCAGGAAGGAAGTGATGGCGAGATGCGGTCTTGGCATCAAATACATTCGTCGTAATCACCTGTTGCTGGTAGGAACCTCCTGGTTACACCAGCAGCCCACAGGGGATTATTGTGTCCGTCCGTCCGTCGTGCATCCAAAAATGGGAGGGGTGGGGCTGGGTGGAGAGGGGAGGGTGGGGAGGGGCTGGGTGGGGAGGGGCTGGGTGGGGAGGGGCTGGGTGGGGAGGGAGGGGCTGGATGGGGAGGGGAGGGTGGGGAGGGGCTGGGTGGGGCTGGGTGGGGGGTGGGAGAGGTGGGGCTGGGTGGGGAGGGGCTGGTCACCCCGTGGTGCCCTTATAAAACTCAACGTTTAACCTACTCACGCCGGCTTGTGCCCGCCCTCACAGTCGGGCATATTTGCGGAATACACCACGCCGCCGTTGACCCTGGCCATTGACCGAGCAACCCAACGTTCCTACCAGCTCCCTCCGCAGGAATGTGTTTAATTTGAACTTGGGTGCCTGCCCGACCAACCCGATGAACTATCTCTGAATTGGGGAAAAGGGAGAACGGGGGTGGAGGTGGAAATACTGTACTGCTGTTGACTTGAGGAGGGAGATAAATGGATGAGTGAGTAGAATCATTGGTGTGGGGAGATGGATTATTTGATAGGTGGGCTATTGGTTGGGCAGTTGGATGAGCGGTTTGGTCGGCAGATGAGTAGGTGCGTGGCTGGATACTTGGCAATGGATCGGCGTTCACTTCGCGCCACCTGTCAATACTCGTTTCCACACCAGGGAAATAAAATTATCCTCTCAGTGAACCACATTCTTAGACCTTCAATTCGAAAAATACCACTATCATCGCTCCCGACTGCTCAGACAGTGTGCATCCTTGCGGCTTTCATGCTATTGGGTGTGCACTCCTAGTCTTACAACTCAACGTGGAGGGGTTGTTGGCTGCCATGCGAAGCCTAATCAATGACTGGATAGGTTTGGGTGAGTAGGTGAATGTGTGGGTGGAATGAGCAGGCGGGTTATATTTGGGTGAGTGGGTGGATGAGTGGGTGAGCGCATGGGTGGATTAGCATGTGTACTACAGTTGAGAGTTGAAAATTTGAGATGAGATGTAATTTAAGGCGCTTTGCGATATTGGAGCATTTAAGCGCCCAATAATAATGTAAATGCATATCCATGTCTTTAAACGTGAGTGAGGGATTGGATTGATGAGTAAAGTGGTTTGCGAGTGGGTGATCTGATGAGTGGATGAGTAAGTGTATAAGTGGATGAATAGATGGACAGCTGTGTACCGTAAGTTGGTGATTTTATGGATGTATGAATGTGTGTGCAAGTGGGTTGGTTGTGGATGAGTCTGCGGAAAGGTAAATCTATACGTGTGAGTGGATGGGTGTGTGTGTGTGAGTGGGGAGCGGTAGTGTAGCGGTTAGCACGCTGAGCTACCAACCTGGCGACCCGGATTCGATTCCCGCTCACGGCCAACACCATCAGTGACGATAATCTGAACCGGTCCTCAGCCTCCCCTAGGTCGACTCCGCCTCAAATGAGTATCTGGTGCGATGTGTAAACATCGCCACTGGGGGGGACAAAGGCGGCTGGGCGTGGTGTTGGCCACCCACCACCTCGTGTGCCGTGCCGGCCTTCATAGGTGCTCGCTAACAGTACTTCCGTCAACATTCTGTTAAGGCTATACGGGATCTTTGTCTTTTGTGGGTGGGTAAGTGTATACGTGTGTGAATGGATGGATGTGTGAGTGGATGGGTGTGTGAGTGAATGGGTGGGTGAGTGAGTGGATGGGTGAGTGGATGGGTGTGTGAGTGGATGGGTGTGTGAGTGGATGGGTGATTGAGTGGATGGGTGATTGAGTGGATGGGTGAGTGAGTGGATGGGTGAGTGAGTGGATGGGTGTGTGAGTGGATGGGTGTGTGAGTGTATACGTGTGTGAGTGGATGGGTGTGTGAGGAGGTGTGCCAGTGGGGTGGGTGCCTATGTGTTTGTGTAGTGGGGAACGGTAGCGTAGTGCTGCGCTACGACCCCGGCCAACATTGGTGACAATTATCTGAACTGGTCCAGGGCGTTCCCTAGGTCGACTCAGCCTCAGTTTAGTACCTGGTATGTTGGGTAAACATCCCCACTGGAGAGACAAAGACGGTCTGGCGTGGTTACGGCCACCGACCCTCTCGTGTACCTTGGAGGCCTTCATTGGTGCTCACTGACAACACTCGCTCCAAAAGTCTGATCAGAGTATATAGGGGATCTTGTCTTTTTTGTATTTGCGTAAGTTTTTGAGTGGATGTGTGAGTGTGCGAGTGGGTTGATGGGTGAGTACTCCATGTTTATGCGACTTGGTGAGTGGATGAGTAGAGTGGCTGGATGAGTGTGTCAGTGGGTGGACTGTGTGGGTGGATGAGTGTGTGTGCGAGTGGGTGGATGAGTGTGTGTGTGCGAAGTGGGTGGAAGAGTGTGTGTGTGTGGGTGGATGAGTGTGTGTGTGTGCGAGTGGGTGGATGAGTGTGTGTGTGTGGGTAGATGAGTGTGTGTGTGCGAGTGGGTGGATGAGTGTGTGTGTGTGGATGAGTGTGGGTGGATGAGTATGTGCATGTGCGAGTGGGTGGATGAGTGTGTCAGTGGGTGGACTGCGTGGGTGGATGAGTGTGTGTGTATGCGAGTGGGTGGATGAGAATGTGTGTCAGTGGGTGGATGAGTATCTGTGTGTATGTCTGTGTGCAAGTGGGTGGGTTGGCGTGTGCACCCGTGTGTCACGGGGGGGAGGCACCAGTGCCGAAACTGGTCATCTGTATCCCGTACTCTGCTGGGCTGATGTGCGAGTCATTCCTCCCACGCGGTTTTTTTTTTGTCTCTGGTTTTATCAGGGTTGTTGTAGGACGCCGTGTTCCAGCCGCGTGTCCTCGTTTAACCTCCCCGAGGCGCTCGCACGCGCCACTCGTGGCCCCCGCTGAGCTTCTCTCAGCCCGCAGTCTCTACCCCCTGTATCTTGCACGCTATATTGGGGGGCGGGGAGGGGTACCTTTCGGATTTTAACAATAGGTAATTTTAAGGAGAGTCCATTTGTATGTATTTTTTATATACTGCTGTAATATGACACGCTGAAACACTGCATCTGCCAAAAAAACACCCGAAACTTTGTTTGTCTTCTGCTGCGTTTAGCATTGATGTATGACAACATTGGTGATGTACATCACATAGTGGTATATGTTGGGCCCGATGTAATGAATAAACTTAAAAGTACCATATAAACACATATCTGCTCACCCACTCACCCATTCATCTCTCTGGTATGATGACGACCTGTTGCTGAAAACGTCACCTTTTGTATATTTCGTTCCCTTTTATGGCAGCGTCATTGATGAATGTGTGCAGCTTTGTCACGTACACACACACACTGACCCACTCACGCATACGAATCAACCAACCCACTAACCCACTCACGAATACTAATTAACCAACCCACTCACCTACTCACCCACTCACACATACTAATTAACCAACCCACTCACCTACTCACCCACTCACACATACTAATTAACCAACCCACTCACCTACTCACCCACTCACACATACTAATTAACCAACCCACTCACCTACTCACCCACTCACACATACTAATTAACCAACCCACTCACCTACTCACTCACTCACACATACTAATTAACCAACCCACTCACCTACTCACCCACTCACACATACTAATTAACCAACCCACTCACCTACCCACCAATACTCACGCACCTCCGATTAGCGCGGTTGGCTGGGTACGATGCGAAAGAGGTTCAAGATACGGTACATACTAATCAACAAACCCACTCCCCTACAAAGACAAAAAAAAAACCCGTATAGCTTTATCAGACTTTTTGGGCCAAGTGCTGTTAGCGAGCACCTATGAAGGCCGGCACGGGACACGAGGGGGTAGATGGCCAACTATACGCCCGGCCGCCTTTGTCTCTCCAGTGGCGATATTTACCCACCACACCATGTACTCATTGAGACTAAGTCGACCTAGGGGATAGGGAGTTCAGTTTACTAATCAATCAACCCACTAACCTATGCACGCACTTACTTGTGCACGCACCCACTTACAGTATCCAATACACGCACTCATCCAATATTCACAGCAGCACGACGTGTGTTGAACATTTGTAGTCCGTAATATTTATCGTGCAAAGACA